TAAATGAGGTGGTGACGAGAGCCACACAGGTGGGGAAGGTACCACCACATCAGCTCCCCTGGCCTGCACCGACCCCAGCACGTGCATTTCTGATTTCCACAGCAGACCCCGTCTGCTTCCAGGAATGCCACACGGGTCCTGCTCTCCTTAAAACAAAACCAAACACAGTAACCAGTTTGCTTGACTCAGGATCCAAACAAGGTCCATTCATTAGTATTGGTTAATTTAAAAGTCTCCGTTGATGTGCAGGTTTCCGGGGTTCTCAAGTGAGGTTGCAGGCCGTCCCCCCACCCCAGCGCTGTCGCCCCCACGTGGTGCTCCTGGCTTGGGCTCTCGCAGCTGCAGCGCCAGCTCCACAAGGTCAAGTTCGGGGTGTTCGTGCACTGGGGCGTGGTCTCGGTGCTCAATGGGGCATCGAGTGGCTCTGGTGGCACTGGAGGCGCCTAGGGCAGCCCAGCACCAACGCCTCATGCGCCACAGCTACACGCCCGGTTTCGGCCGCGCCCACTCCGGACAGCAGTTCCCCGCGCTTCTTCCGCCCTGACCCACCAGTGGGCCCATCTCTTCCAGGCCGCAGGGCCCAAGAAGGGCCCGGGCTCTCCTGGTGACACAGCGTCACCAGGCTGTACGGACTGTCCGAGTCGCGCGTCTTGGAACTGGGACGCTAAGGACCTGGGGCCCCATTGCGATTTGGTTGGTCGGAGCAGCTGTCCGGAAGACGAACACACGCTATGGACTCTGCCACCCCCTCTTCCTATGGTTCCACCCACTCTACCTACTGGACAAGAAAAATGGCTTTAAAATGCAGCATTTTATTAATATCGGTGTGAAAACAATGCCAGGGCTATACTACCTTGTTAACAGGCACAAACCTGATGTGATTTGGTCTGATGGAGCGTGGGAACGTCCTGATATTTATTGGAACTCTATAGGTTTTCTTTCTGGGCTCTACAATGATAGCCCTGTCAAGGAAGAGGTGGCAATAAATGACCAGTGGGGTCAGAAATGCTCCCATCACCGTGAAGGATACCACGACTGTCAAGATAAACTTAAGCCTGGGAGGTTGCCAGACCACAAGTGGGAGATGTCACTACTGATGAGAAACCCTGGGGTTATCATCGGACAGGGCGATGTCTGGCTTTGCAAGCGCATCTGAAAGCATTCTGGCACTGGGTCAGACATTAAGTTTGGCAGACAGCTCCCTTCTTAACACTGGACTCGCTAAACTGATTGTTCCCATCTTCCAAGAAAGGCTTCTTACTGTTGGGAAGTGGCTGAGCATCCAGGGATAGGCTGTCCAGGCCTTTAAGCGATGGAGGGTGTTGTGATCAGAAAAGAACATGGTATCTGTGCGGTGTACCTCCAATGGATCGGCTGTTTATGCCATTTTACTGCAATGGCCAGAAAATGGAACCTTCAACCTCGAATCCCCCATAACTACCGCAACTACAAAGGTAACAGTGTGGGAATCCAAGAGGATCTGAAGTGATCCACAGGTCTGGATAGAGGCCTTCCCGTTTCTCTGCCCCAATGCCACCCTCTGCTCTCCCAGTAGAGTTTGCTTGGCCTGTAAAGCTGACAGGAGTGGACTGATCCTTGGAATTCAAGAGGAAATGGATGCTGACTGCTGTTTGCTGCTTTGATTTGCCTCTTATAAGACCATCACTGTAAGAAACTAACTTCTCTTCCCCCTCCAGAGATGGCTTTTTAAACAAAGGAAGTGAGTACATTACCCTGTCACAATGGACCAAGGATGTGAGCTCCATTGCTAGCATACCTCTCTTTGGTCAGCAAAAAGAAGGCACTGAACACTTAAGCTCCAAGTTCATCCATTCTTAACTTTGGAAATTATCTACAATGGAAATGCCCCTCTCTTCTCTGGGTTTGATAACCTACTTGCTCATTCAGTGACTTTGATAAAGAATAAGCCGAGTCAGCCTGTTGCTTTGGGGAAGAGATGGAAAGGGTTTGGCAAGCGTAACCACACACTTTATTTAGCATCAGTTGTCACCAGCACACTGCCCCTACCCCCTGAAGTGCAGGAGAGCCTGGAAGGGAAGAAAAAAGCTTGCTGGGCTGCTAATGGTCAATTCTTCAAAAGTTCCCAAAGCAAACTAAGAGCTCTGAAAGCCAATCTATTTACAATGACATTATTAAGAAAATGAATGTGATTCTGCCCTGCTTTTAAAAATATGATCAAGTAAATGAGTTTGTATGCTAAAAAAAAATTTATAGCTTTCCCTACCATATACCCTGCCTCATTTTTTTTGTTGTTGTTATGGTTGAAGAAACTGGTTGTCTTAGAATTTCCTATAGTTTGGAGTTTGCTGCTTGTGTCCCTGTGATGTTGTTTAATGTGTTCCTTTGTCATTGTAAGCTGTAAATTGCTCGTTAGATTTAGAGGCTTGACAGATTCAGATTCAATTGTTTCATCAAGAATATTTCATACGTGGTGTTCTGCATGTCTTGTAGGAGGTACATATTGTCTAATTGTCTCTCTCTCATGATGTTAGCAGCCATTCATTGGTGATCATTGTCCAGAGGCATTAATTCATTAGAAGTTTGCAAAATGGTGATATCTTAATTCTATCATTGCTTATTCATTTATTAGCTGGAAACATTTTATAATGAGGAAGTTACCCTTGACTCTGATTCCTCTGAGACCAGATTTTTAGCGCAATGAATTGGTTCCCTAACATTCTTTAAAGGTGATTAATGAGTTTAGATTTGGGGTATCATATTGAACTTATGGATTTAAATATACTTGATATGTTTCAATTCATTTCATTTATCATCCTACTGATGCTCAAATTATCCCATCTTTGGCTAGTGAGATCCTCTTTAAGCTGGTATCTGAATCCTTTAGATAGAACCCTAATAGTTTTTCATAGCTTCCTTGCTACCTGCTATGACAGGATATTCCAGACTCATTTAATAAACTTCCTGCCTCAGACCTGGAATTAGCCATCTTTTCAAGAGGCCTTGTTCCTTCTGGGGGAAAATAGTGTTTAGAGACAGAATCAGGGTTCCAGGATGCGCATTGCTATTAGGTTGGCCATTGTTTCTCAGCCTTTTCAGTAGACAGAACTAGAAAATGTGTGCTTTTTAAACAGAGAACACATTATGAATTAGTATTACTACTTCAGATTTATTTTCAGAACTACAAGATTATAAGAACTCATTGATCTTATTATTACTGTATCTTCTCTCACCCAAACTGAAAAATCACAGCTCTCAATGACACCAATATATATACATTTTTGCTTTATCCTACACAACATACAGTTTCAGAATACCAATACCAATACTGCCATAACAATGCGATTCCTGAATCAATAGATACAAACAAAACCGGTTAGAAGATATAATGAAATAAAAGACCACATGTCTGATAAAAAAAAATAAAACACCTCAGTGTAAATTTAATAAGAAATGTCCAATATCTATACAAGAAAAATTATAAACGTTCATGAAGATAAAAAATTAGACTTAAACAATTGGAAAGGTAAACCATGTTCACAGAAAAAATTCAACATCATAAATATCTTAGTTATTTCTATGTTTATATAAACATTTAATGCAATCCCCATAAAAAGGTCACCAGGTTTTCTCCTAGAGCTAGACAAATTGATTATATAATATGTTTGGAAGCATAAACATGCAAAAATAGTTAGGAAATCCCGCAAAAACAATGATATAATATTAAAACATATCATAAACCTCTAAAATTAAAATAGTTTGGTATTAATGAATGAATATGCAGATGAATGGAAAAAAATAGAAAATTCAGAATTAGACCTAATTGCATATGAAGATTTAATGTATGATAAAAATGGCATCCCTAATTATTAAGGAAAAATGGACTTTTTAATTAGATGTGTTGGGATAGCTAGATAGCTATATGCAAAAAGATAAAATTAAGCCATTCCTTCTACTGTGTGCCAGGACAAATTCTAAATGGATGAGAAATTTATGTATAAAAGATAAAACATATAAAAACACCAGGGGAAAAAAAGCTGGGTGAATTAATGTACAACCTGTAATGGGAATAACTCTCTAGATTACACCTTAAAATCCAAAAGGAAAAAGTAAAAGAATTGACATTTATGATTACATGAAAACAAATGCTTGGTATTTAATCCACATGAGTTACCTTAAGTCCACTTTGCAGATGAGAAAACTTGAGACTTAGAGAAATTAAATATCTTGCCCAAATTTACATAGAAAATGTCAGAGATGGAATTTGAACACGCCACAGTTGCAACTCATTGCACATAGAGCCACACAGACTTCTGTTCACTCTAAGGACATCAAGAAAAATCAGAAAATAACCATTTTCCAGACACCACCCACAATTGAGTAATAAGATCTTGTCCATACTGCTAGGCTAGTTCCCATTGGTTTGATATAGATATAATATAGAAGAAGAGTTGCAGGAGAGCTTTAAAAGGCACGGGGCTCTGGGGAGAAAGAGAGACTTTGGTATGTTTTGCAGATAAAACTGAAATACAGTATGACACTTAACATGGAATTTTATACCTTTTAATTCTTATTCTCTTGTTCAGAATTTCCTTGTGATATCACAGCAGCACTCTCATCTAATTCTTGCTTATATACAATGAAACACCATATCAACCCTAGGAATCCAGTTTTAAATACATGAAGGTTGAAAAAATTTTCAGATCTTTTAATTTATTATCAGCAAAGACAGTGGCTTGACTAAGTTATTTTAATAGAAACAATTCAACTGGTTGTTGGGTTCATAAAGTCAGAAGGTGCCGGTTGATTGAGGACTTCACTTCTCAGCTGGCGTTGGTATTCACACAAACTAAACTAACCTTTACTTCCTGCCCTTCCCATTAATTTGTTCACGTTTTAATTGTTCGATTGCTTGCAAGGTATCTCATGCCTAGGCAACAAATACTGAATTTCTCTTTGTGTTCCCTTAAGAAAACTTTGAAAGCCAATGATGCTTTTTCTCCATTAGGGGCATGGTAATTATTGACTTGTGAAAGCAATGCAATCCACTCATTGATTTCACAGAGATTTATTAAGCACCTACTAGCGTGCCAGGCATTGTTATTGGTGTTAGATATACAGGAAGGACAAGGCAGACAAGTTTTTGCTCCTGAGGATCTTACATTCTATGGGAGGAGACAGAGGAAAAGCAAAGAACAGCCACAAAGCCAGATAATATCACAGAATGATTTATTCAGTGAATAAAACATTAAATGCAGTGATGTGATCTGGACTGGGGCAGGGAACTTCCTTAGCTTGGATGAGCAGAGAAGTCTCTGACTAAGATTTGAGCCACATGAAGACCCAAGGGGGGTGACATTTAGGGCTAGGCAGAAGTAACAAGTTCAAAGGCCCTGAGGCCGGAAAGCACTTGGTGTGTAAGAAGAGAAAGAACACAGTAGCTGGAGAAGTGTGAACTATACTGAAATATAACTGACCTCAAAGTATTGGAGGATTTGCTTGTTTGTTAGTTTATTCATTTACACTCTATCTTGTTCCAAAAAGGATCTTTGAAAATCGCTCTTTGAATGCTGTTGTTTCTTGGAGTGCCTAGAGATTTCAGAAAAATAAAAGTGATTTCTCTAGTAGGTAAAGTTCAACAAATATCTGAGATAGGGAATTAGGACAATCCATGCAGAATACTTACTTTTTTTTTTTTTTAAAGACTCATACACCTTGAAATGTCATTTAAGAAATTATTTTTAAAGAAAATTATTGCACTGAATTTAATTTCAAATCAACAGACCTATTATATTCTCTAATTAATCATGGCACATGCTATTTACCAAACTCCTGTTAAAAACAAATTTCTTTTGTACACATTACAAAGAAATGTTACATAAAATTAAGCACCAAGTAATGACTTTAATTTGCGGTTAGTTAATAATACACAGATGATCATGCGGCTGTAAAGGAAGCCGCTTGGGACATTAACAGATATGCTGGCACAGAGGAATTGGAAGCAGGCAGACTGTGAGGCAGTTGGGCTCTGCTCTGGGTGGGAGGAAAGAGGACTCAACATTTGATTTGGACATTGGACGCTTTGGCTTCCAGTAATAGGCATAAACCTGATGAAGTCCTTTGCCCAGAAAAGTCTGAATGACTTTGAGGTTTTTCAAGTGGTTTGTAAGTTATTTTTTACTTCTTGCCCAGCAAAATGGTTTTACAAAACTTAATGGAATTTGCATTTAACATGGGATTTACTGAACGACCTTGACTCAGAAGTTCTTCTTTCCAGCTTTGCAAGAAGCTAAAATTGCCCCCAAGTTCTATGAACCAATTTACTCAGCTAAAATTTCTTAGCACTTAATGATCCCAAGCTAAGACACTCAGACTTTACCTTTCTGAAAATGAAAATAAAATAGAATAAAGCCCTAATATTTGAAGGAAACCAATGTTACATCTTTCTGAATGTCTGTAGGCTACACAAGCAACCATACAAACAGATACAAAAAATGATATTTCTTGATCCCATACTGTAGAGAATGGGTTGGAAAACCAACATCCCAGTGAATTTGTGATTAAAGTTTGTTTAAACATCAAGAAAGGAGAAATGGAAAGTTGTTAGGAGACTGAAAATGGTTCACCTTTCTCTTACAGAGGAACTTTTCTAATATTTCTCAATTTTCCTTGCTCCCATCTAAAAGCCAAAGTGGGGCAGGGAAATGGGTTGGCACAGTGAAAGAGTCCTGGTGTCCAGGACTTCAGTGCCCCGAGAGGTAGAGACTCCTGAAGGTTGTTCAGGTCTCCTGCCCGCTCACTCACTCACAGTGTGACTCTTATTTGTCATTTCATGTGTCCATGCACCTCCTTTGCTTTGCAGATGAAATGGGTATCAAAGAACTATATACTTCATGGTAACATTTTAGCTCCTTAAACAGATGACAAACAACCCTGGTGTACCTAGGTTGAAGATTACATCCATGCCATCACTACTTCTCTCAGGCATCCAGGGCTGGTCTCTGTTTCCCAAGGAAGCCAGGTTTAGTCATTCCTACCATTCTTACAGATGGAGCTGGATGGAAATGGGGAAGTCTGAATGCCTTAATCCAGAATAAAGGTTCACCAGAGTCCCTACCAGGCTCTGGGGCTCCAGGATAATACACTCACACGGAGAGGCGCACATGCACCATCAGGGGACCAATGAGGAGCTGAAAATCAAAAGGGAATTAGAAGAAAAAGCCTCAGGAAAGAGTTAATCAATGACTCCAAGGCAAGGCAAATATTGACTTTGAAGCATTAAACATGTGGCTGAAAATGATGTCATTGTCCCTGTGAAAGAAAGTTTCTATGTGACTATTTCAGACCAAAGAGAATGCAGAACAATAGGGGCAAGAAGGGGCCCAAACATGGTGTTGTTACCCTCCTCACCTGCAGGAAGGGGCAAGCGCTGTCTTGACAGTGCTGTTTTTGTTTGTTTAATCTCTGCTCTATCACCAGCGGTGAGTACATCTCTCTCTCTCTCTGTCACACACACACTATGTAATTATACACACACACCACACACACGCACACATATAAACACACATAATTTGAGCTGGAAGGAGAAGAGTAGTGTTAATAGAAAAGGACCTCTGTTTTTTCCTTCCTTTGAATTCACAAAGCCATCAGACTTCTCCAGAAATATTTTGGGAAAGAGAGAGAAGTTTGAACACAGGAGAGTTAGAAATGGGGGTATAGAGAGAGGGGAAGTCCAGGCAATTCAAACAGCATGGAATACCAGTCAGAGAAAGAAGTAATAATTTCTTGAAAGACAAGATGGGATCAGTTCTGGAAGCCAGGGATCCCTCACTGGGTAAGTCATGACTGTTTCAAACAAAATCAACTTGGAGCTGACCAAGAAGCCAAGTGGCACTGCTTTGATGTGAAATATTTTTACACATTATTCCACAATACGAGGCATAGAGGAATTCTTCCAAATAAATTTATTAGAGCAAACTGTCTCAGGCAAAATTAGCTCCTTCTGCATTTTTGTGACTACATTTGATGACATGTTTACCAACCACTTTAAGTTTGGGTTTGAGATTGCGGTAGATTAGATTATCTGGCAAATATTCACTCCATGTTTCCCTCAACCCCACCCCCTGTACCTCCATGGAGGAGTGTTCATCCTGCTCCACTGGTGTGGGGTTTGGCCACATGACTTGCTTTGTCCTGTGGGATTTTAGTGGACTTGACAGGGGCAGAGACTGGAAACGTGCTTGTGTAGTTGGGCTGGCCCTTCTGGTGCTTCTGCCATGAGAAGAAAATGTGGCATGTGGCTGGCCTGGTGGTCTACAGAGGGGGAAGAAAACACAAGGAGCAGATCTGCACCCAAGCTGTAGCTTGAAATCAAGTCCAGCTGAACTGAGCCTGGACCAGCCACACCCAAATACAAGAGGGAGAATAAATGATTACTCCTTTAAGCCACCAAGTTTGTGGGCTGGATTGTTGTGTAATGTTACTGTGGCTGCAGCTAACTGATGCCAGCAGAACTGCTGAATGAGCAAGTTAAGGAGACCAGGAATGCTTGTTGTGTCATGTTTACAAAGCACAGTGAGTGAGGGGTGGCCAGAGTCCTGAATGGTAGGGGTTACCATATGGGGAACCACCTCTGTACCTGGTAACAGGATGCTCTTACTGAGCATAGATCAAGGGTCAGAATTTGGCTGCTGTGGAGCAGGATAGAGTAGTGACTATTCTGTGTACAGCTTTGTATGAGTCAATATCCATGAGAGCTCTTGTTTTTGGAGCAGGGAGAGCGTGATGGTGTTGCTGTTGTTGGCAGTGGTGGTTTCTTTGTTTTTGTTTGTTTTGCATAGTTTTGAGAGGCGCACACAGACATGGAGGATTGAAGACATGGTCTAGCCTCTTTCTGCAACTGATCCCTGCCCTGGGCTATTACCTGATGGGAAGAGAAGTAAGGGCCAGAAGCTGAAGGAGTTATTTTCATGAGAGACTTTGTCACCTGGACCCCAAAGTGGCCACTCTTGTGCACACCAAAGTATGGCACAGAACTAGGGTGAAGACCATTCTCTTCTACTTCTTTAAGGCACCAAGACAGCACTGGCTCCCTAAAGATTGGGGGAGCTAGGGAGATGCCTCCTGTGTTACAAACACTGTGTTCTCACCATGGTAATTCAGCTGTTGCTACAGTGAAGTTCCCTCCAGCCTGGCGTGACTGGAAGATCCAGGAGAGGAAGTTGTGGGGCTGCTTGGGGACCCGACGCTGACTGACAGCTGTGTGAGGAGATCAGACACTCCTTGGAGACCCCCAGGAATAGACTGGGAGGACTTGGCAGGGAGACTGAAGAAGGGTGGAGACAAGAGAAAGAAACTTGAGATAACAATGTCACTGGGAACTCATTTGAATGCACATGCTGATGAGGCCACAGAGACATTCCAGTTACTTTTGCATGTTGTTGAAAGCCAATTGTGGTTGGCTCAATTCCCATTGTCAATACCCATGAAACTCTCTCGATGTTTCTGGGGGTGGGGGGGGGAGCAGATATGTCTCTTTTCAATTGCATATTAGCCCAAGAGATGACCCAGCCCTACCAGAAGAAGATCACCACCAAGATGGTTTTCACAGAGGATGTTATTCCTCTATGAAAATCCCACTGCATCACTTCAGGATGAAAACTCACAGGCTCACAATAATGTTGCCAATATATGTTGAAGAGAGTTGCCAAAGACGTATGATTGCTCAAGAGAAGTAGATATGTGTTAAGAAAGAAAAAGGAAGGAAGGAAGGAAGGAAGGAAGGAAGGAAGGAAGGAAGGAAGGAAGGAAGGAAGGAAGGAAGGAAGGAAGGAAGGAGAGAGAAAATGAAGAGGAAGGGTGGAGACCAACCACGTGAGAAGAGAGAGAAAGAAGAAAAACACCAGTAAAGATAATAGAACTTTCACTATGAAATATACAAAGGTTCTTTTCTAAGCACTGATGACACCAATGCCTTTTTCTTTCCAGATAATATGATTCAGCCTCAATGCCACTTTAGGAAGAGAGAAATGGAAGAAGTCCATTACTATTTCATGAAAAGTGAGTCACACCCCCTCACAACTCAGGAAATTCCTTGACCCCATACATGGAAAGGGGCGCTTTGCTGCACCACCCTTCTCCCCAAGACGCGATAATACAATCCATCTGCTATTCTGTTTAATTTTTTAAAAAAAATTTGGTGAACATCATCTGCAGAGTTTAAAATATCACTGGTTTTATGAATCCCAAAGCATCTGGTTGTCTGAAAGCAGTCTCACTGTCCCTGGGAAATCCTCCCCAAGAAAGAATGATAAAAGATATTATAAACTTAATGTAATAACTGAACTTCGTAAGATAGAAACTACAGTATTTGCAATATTGAGTCTTCTCATTAAAAATTTCTCACAGCAGGAACTTGAACAGATTAAGGGAAAGATTAACTGTTAATAAAGGGAAACACTCACCCAACCATTCATTTATTCAGGCAATAGACATTGGTTGAGGGTCTACTCTGACTGACATCTTGGGCACTGTGTTTGGTTCTTCCTTCTCAGGCTGGGAGGAGAGAAAAGCTCTATAAGACAGCCAAT